TGGTTTTGTCCCCACCCCCCCCCCGGGGAAGTGAGGCCCTTTCATTTGGAGTTGGGTGACTGACTGACCTTTGTGCCTCTGAAAATTCCCATCATCCTTTGGAAATAGGGTGAGATTTAATTATTAGAATTGATTTCTAGCTGGCAGCCTTTATAACTGAAAGTTTGCAGTGAATCCTATAGATACTAGTGCCACTGTAGTAACAGAGTGCTTAATTAAAATCATGTCTCGTTTTTCTTATGGAAGATACCAACCATAAAGGAATGAACCACACTAAGTTTCCCCTCAGCTTATCAACGCTTACCATACATTACTATACCAAGGCAGCTTCTGATAGCATTAGAATTGCAATTGTTCTTAACTAGTTGTCTCCTATGTGAACGAATAGGGCTGGGGGAGATGAAAGTCCTTTCCAAATCCCACAGATGAAATGGCAAAAATGATTGAAAAATTTGAGCTGTAACTGCTTAATGAGTAACACTGATGATCAAAGTGCCAGTGTAGTGTTTCTATGGCTTTTGAACAACAACAAAGTCACCTACTATCCTTCAATAAAAATGCAAACAACAAATTCAAAGCCCAATGCCATCTTTTTCTCCTGGAATTTTTATGTGCTTGCATAGTCTGTGGAGTAGTTTCCATCATGACAATTTAATGTTAATAAAAAGCTCTAACCTTTAATGGTATTCACCCTGGTTAACTTAAAAGTGGCTTACAGAGGCAGAGTCTGGCATTTTCTGCTTATACCAATCAGTCTCTTATGCTTGATGTCAGATACCGCCTGGGTTTCATTTTTCAGGTGAAATGAGCTGCAGTTGTAAAATCTGATTAAAGTGAATAGGACTCGTCTGAAATGAGTGGCAACAGCCACATCAGATAAAGCCACCCCCTCCACCCCCCCCGTAACTATACAATGCATCTGTTACTCAGCACACTTTGTTCTGTATTCTGCAGACTCTGTTTTAAAAGTTTTTTTCACTGTTATTAATAGGCCATCAAACTGATAGAAAACCAAAGTACTCTGGGTATTTCTGCGTGTAGAGAAATGAAACTCATGTCACTGGAGTTGTTTTGTTTTTGTCTTGGCACCCTTATGCAGGGCTTTAAACACAACTGATGGTAGCAATGTGATGAGGTTGCAGTACTACTAGCCCCAAGTGTCATAAAACGTGAGAGTTAGGCATGCCCTGAAATTGGCCTAAAACTAGAACTTGTGTGTGATTTTCCCCCCCCTCCCCCCCCGGCCGCCCTTTTTAAACACTCAAGTTCTTTTTAGGATCCACTCTAACCTACCTTTTCAAGCTGGAAATTTATTTTAAAAAAATTATAGTCACATGATCCAGGAGCTAGGGCTTTAAGAAAAAACACCTAAGTGCATGAGACTTGCAATAAAATTGTAAGAGTTGGGATTCTATGCAGATATCTTACAACCTACTATAAACAGGTTGGGAACCTCACTCGTGGTTGTAGCTTACACAGGATAAGACTGGCCCCATCTGTGTAGGTACTTCCATAGTACCTGAGCACCCCACTAACATTAATGGAGTTGTCCTCACAATATCCCAGTACCAATGTCTCCTTTTACTGAGGGCAGGGGATGAAAGTAGGGTCCAGAGTGGGGGAGGAGAGGGCTGTTGAGGTCACCCTTCTGTCTAACCAAAGCTGGTGAGAACAAGTGTTTAATCCAAGTGGGGCTGGGCAGGCTGCAGTCACACGCAGACACTCAGGATGTGGCTTGCATGCTGGAAGACTGTGAGTGGTCCAGGTGGGAGCTACTACAGTAAGGCATTGTAGGCACCCATGGTTGCAGGGCAGGGGTGACACACTGATCTGGACTGTACCCTGCTGTGTCACCAGAGTCAGAGAAGATACTCAGAGCAGTGGTTGCGGGGAAGGGAGGTTACGAAGAAAAGATGGTGCCCTCTTCATTTCCTCTCCCATTTGAGCATTCAGGATGATAAGGTTGCACCACTTCAAGGGAGGATGGGAGACCACAGTGGTTATCCCTCTGACAATTTAGTGTTCTCTCCTACTCTCAAGATCCACCACATGCCCCCCCACACCATGAGTACATCCGTAACCTCATTCATTCACCAATTGAGTCTATTCCCCACTACACTCACACCTACCGCGTCCAATCTTGCCCCTCTGCCAAACCATGAAAGGGCTCTCCCCTCCAACTGCTGCCAGTTCAGTCTCCTCCTACTACCCTTCCTATTTAAGCTTAGCAGCTGAGAACCACACCCTATTAGTCTGACTCCTCTGGCACCTTCTACCGTCAGCTGCTGCACGTATCCCTTCAGAACCAGTAAGCCCAGCCCCTGAGTCAGAATCGCCTGCGGCCAAATATGCACATGCAAGGTGTTGGGGCAGGAAAAGCAGGAGCAACAGGGACTATGTGCATGGGATCTGAACGAGCCTCACAGAGGCCTGCATGTCTTTTCCTTCTGCTCCCTGAGGGCAGAAGTCCTAGGGTGGGGGTCAGGTTACTTCAGCCTTTCGGAGCAGCTCTGTTCCAGCAGGAGTGCCCCACTAGCTTCAGGTGTGACTGTACCCTGACGTGTATCAGTCCCACAGCACACTTTGCATAGTGCTGTGGCTGAGCCCCATTAGTTCTTAACCACCAGCCATGCCTGCTCCCACAAGGAATGTTTTTGCTTTCAAGTCTGTGCCTTTATCCATGGTGTCACCAGACTCTTTTTCTGAACCAGGCATAACTGACCCTGCTTGGACCAACAGCAGGGTTTGAACCTGCGAACCTATGAGTTAAAAACCATGTGTCCCTAATACTCGACATAATAAATTAAGTAGAGTAGCAGCCTCATGTAGATTAGCCACTACAAGGTGACGCTCTGTTAGCTGAGGTTCCGGATGTAATATTGTACCCGTAGTATTTTTGTAAACCATGCTCTCTGGTTACAAAATGTAACTATACTGGCTGCTTTGGGACAGGATACACCGCATGGCTCCACTGCCATACACTACAGAAATGGACACATACAGAAGGAAACAAATGTCCAAGTAACTTCTCAACCCGAGTGCAGTTAGAACAGTAGCTGTTGCTGTATGTACCATGTTGGTACATGATTTCCACATTTGCTTTCAATTCATTTTGAATGGACAGAAGTTACTTTGTATCCCCTTCAGACAAAGAAGCCAAAATGATGTTTAGAGAGGTACAATGGTCACATGCACCCAACGTACAACCTGTGAAATTCCTTGCCAGAGGATGTTGTTGTGAAGGTGAAGACCATAACTGGGTTAAAAAAAGAACTCGATAAATTCATGGAGGATAGGTCCATCAATGGCTATTATCCAGGATGGGGAGGGATGGTGTCCCTAGCCTCTGCTTGCCACAAGCTGGGAATGGGCGACGGGATGGATCATTTGATGATTACCTGTCCTGCTCACTCCCTCTGGGGCACCTAGCATTGGCCACTGTTGGATGACAGCATACCTGGCTACATGGACCTTTGGTCTGACCCAGTATGGCTGTTTTCATGTCAGACTGGACACAATACCATTCTCTGACATAGCTATTTGCTGATCAGATCCCTCTGTAACATAACTGACAGGCTCTGAAGAGGTCCTGCACACATTACAATAAAATATTGTAATGCTGTGAACCTGCTCTGTTTAAAAAAACTTTCAATGGGGTAGGAGGACCCCAACATTCAGTTTCTAATCCTTTTCAAAGGCCAGCACTTGGTGCCAGGGCCTGCTAGATTGAGGCTACTGTACCAGGTACAGAGCTCTCTGCCAACACCATCATTTGAATTATTACTAAAGATTAAAGGCTAGCACATTCTTGCATCCATATTAATTAAGGCACCATGCAGAGCACTGTAACTGGCTCCTGTAAACTAGTACAGTGCTGACTTTATAGGGTAAGATTATGTGAGAATTTTGATGGTCATTAAAAAAGACTTCTGGTTCTGTTTGGGGGCAGAGGTTTCTCATAGGATAGGAAGAAAATAATAGGAAAAAATACCTGGAAACAGTGCAATAGTTCTACATTCCCATGGTCACAACAGCCTGAAATTAAACACTGACACAGTACGAGGCTGAAGAGCCAGTTAAAAATCACGTCTGTCCAATCTGCCACACCTAGAAGTGCCAATAATATGTCCCACTCTGTTAGCAGGCCAGCACGATTGTAATAATATGTCTTTGTGGGGCTATAGCACAGTTGTCGCCTTTCTCTCTCCTCCTTCAATAATCTTTTCTTCAGTCATTTAGAAAATGGATAATCTCAATACAAGGCCCCATCCCACAGTCCTTAATTGCTACATGGACACTGTGATTTGCAAATGTACAGCCCAAGTCTGTCACTCTACCTACTTGTACAGTACCGTGCCCCCATTCACCTCAATCACGTAAAGTAAGGGCATTAAAATATGGCCACAAGTTAGAGACAAGACAACACATAGGACAACATGTCAAGTAAGGCAGAGCGTGGGGACTAACAATAAGAAGGAAGTGAGAATGATTTAGATGTGGCTTCATAGAAGGTATTTGAAAACAAAAGCATGTGGGAAATGGGAAGCCAAGCAAGGGATTGATGGAGACACCACTGGAGGATGACTCTGAAATGATGTAAATATTCACAAAAGGGGGCAAAAATAAGAATGAGAGAAGAGGTTACAGACCAGTGAAGGTGAATCAAGATGTGAATGAGGCTCAGTACCACAAAGGATGGTGAAGAAAAGCAGAAACAAGAGTGTAGGTAGTGGAAGGGAAAAATGATTACATAGATTATAAACTCTCTGCAGGGAGTGGGACTGTCTGTTTTTATTAGGCACTATACCTAGCAGAATGGGGTCCTAATCTGTAAGTGGGGTATCTGTTCATTACTGCAATACATATAATTCATAAAGGGATGGAGGAGATTACATTAAAGTTTCCCTTGATCTCTGGGGGTGTTTGGTCTGAGAAGGGTCTGAAGGATTGAGGCAGGTTGTATTTCTGAAAGAATGAATATCACACCATCCACACCACTATTAAATTGTCAGTCAAGTTTAATGCATCATAAAGAAGTAAAACTACATTGGCATATTTAAGACAAACACTTTTTTTCTATGCACACTATCCACTGGACAGTCCCCTTTTCAAAATAACTACTTTTAACAGTCCAAGACACGTCTTCAGAAATTCTTCACATGTTCAACCTTCCATAGTTTCCTTTTTTAAATTTGTCTGAGAAGAAAAAAAAACATTAAACCTGAAAACACTTACATTGCAAGCCACATTAGAATGCATAATTGGCATACAATAATCAATGTATAACAATTGTGTTTTACTTAGTTCACTTTGTTCATCAATAAAAGAATATAAAAATCTTGTTCAACTGAGTGTTAAGTGTATTAAAATAGATTTGTATAGTACTGCACAGTTTCTCCCGGAGTTGTGAAAATGGTTGAAGGGGACCATGTGCTGCCTAGTGATGGGCAACTGAAAAGGCCAGTCCCTCATTTAAAAAAAAATGACATTCGGCACCATGTCATATGCTGATGTGAGAGACTAGCTGTGTGTCATGCTCTAGTGGTTCCTTGCTTTTGTTTTGTTTCATACCTGTTGTGCTAAGTAACTAAAGGATCGGAGAATGGAATCAGTGGTTGTGTGAAACTCTGCATTGTTAGAGGAAAAGGGGTTGCCCATCACTAACTACCAAGGTAGGCCTCAGGATTACAGGATAGGCCTGTGGCCTACGAAGGCGCCAGACTGACCCTTGTAGTATCAGGAAGACTCACTAGTGAAACAAGCAGGAGCTCTAAGATTTTCTCAGACTAATACTAAACATTTTCAAATGTGTTACAAATCAACAAAATTTAAAAAGGAATTAAGTTTGCAAAACCCCAGCAAACCCTTAATCTTCCACAGTCCACCCTTCCCCCAAAATTCTTGCTGTTATCCAATATGACAAACAACCCCTTGAGGCAGTTTTTTTTCCTGTACCATTTTTGCAGATATTCCTGCAAACAAACAAACACACACCCCACCAGCTTTTTTCCATGTTACCTATTTTTACAATAAAAACGCAGTACAAAAATGTAAAATTATTTTTGGCATATTATCTGTACTGGCAATAAAAGAAAATCAATCTTTATTTGCTTTTATTTAAAAAAAAAAAAGGTTCAAAACATAACCAAAAAAAATAAAACCAAACTGAACCCAACCTGCCAAAGCTATCCACTATATGGTTTATGCTAAATCTTGCACAAAAACTCCATGAGAAAAATACATCAATAGCAAAATAAGTAAAAAGGACCTGCAAAAAAGTAAGGAATTTTACAGTCATACCTCTTTAAATACTTCAGAACGCATATACAGAAGCATCAGCATGAAAATACTTCAATATTTTACTAGAAACGCTAACTTCATACAGGTTTTTAATTTAAATATCTGCAATTCAGCTATAATACTGAAAAAAATGATCTTTTTGTTTTAAAGGCTCTGTGAGCGTCCCATGACGTCATTCTTGTCAAACGGCCCATCTTCAGTTCACCTGAATCAGTGAGGCAGACCTTGTTCACTTTGCTAAGAATCCATGTCAAGTCCTAAGTAGTTCTGGCTCTTTTTATATTACCAGTTTCCTCCCTCAAACAGCTTTAAGCCCAGCTACCTCCCTACTAGTTTTCTAACTCTTTGTATTTAAAATTTTTCCCTTTAAAGCAAACTTGTAAAATTGTCTGCCCTCCAAAAAGGATATTTCACTTTCTATCAGCCATACTATTTCTTTTCCTTCTTATTCATAAATACATTAATTTATTAATTAAGGCCAACATAACAAAACAAATCTCATAAGCACTGAAGGTCTTGGCAAATACAAAACTGCAGCAAAACCTGCTCTGTGGGAAGTTGCTGCCAGAGTGACCTACAAACTGGACTGATTGGCTTAAGTTCTACATGTGTAAAAAATGAGATTGTTTTTTGTTTCCTTCATTTCCCGTTGTTTCAGTTTAATCTCTCCTTTGCGCGTGTATAAAGTTTTTTTTTTTCCATTTTCCCCAGACAGCTCTGTCAGTTGTTACCCTGTGATTGCTGCAAGGCTTTGTGCTTGGCAGCAGAGGCCGATGAGGGTTTGATCCAGGGGACAGTTAGCAGGGAGGAGGTGGTGGTTGTTGTCATGGTAACCTGAATCATCTGCTCATTTTGTATCAGTCTAATGAGAGTTTTGAGACGTTCCAGCGATGACTGAGTCCCTTTCTGCTGGGCCAACAGGCTGTTTTTTAGCTCTAAGCATTTCTGTTGGAGAGAGAGATGGGGAGAGGAAAGGAGAGACTGAGAATACATTCAAATTGGCATCAAACATCTCCCCAAAAATGCTTTCCATGTCTGGAGAACATGTCCATCTCAAACAAATTATGTTCTCCTTTGCAGATAGCAGAAACACAAGTATAACTAATGAAGTAACGGTAAGTGATGCATTATATGCACCAATGATCTTAGCAACAATATTCATCTAAGATCAAGTATATACTGAGGGCGCTTTTGACCATATCCTGTTGAAAGACAGGAAGAATACATGATCGTGTGATGACGGTCTACAGATTTTGTTAGCATGGATTTACAATGGCCACATTACTCGAAAGTGGCAAAGCCACCAATAACACTGTAAGTCTTCCCAAATGACTTCAGTAAAACCTTCAGGTCAAACTACACTCTGATGTATGTGGCACATATTTCACAGTCCATTTTAGGGAGATTAAATAAAGTGGTGTTTGTTTTAAATCCATTTACCTAAATCCAGGCAATTTAGTAACAAGGATGCCAGTAACAACTTCTAAAGACAACCTCAAATATTTTTCAGGTATAAAAATGTTAGTTTAAGGGCCACTATTTAATGTTCTACCATGGCTAGAAACAGAAGTCTTATCCTACTGGGAAGGGTATTTCTGGCTTTTAATGGACGAAAGCTCCTGTTTCTCTCTCCAATAGGTCATGAGACCCAAACCAGTTACTGGTCCAGGTCTGCATATTGTCTCTTATGGGCCTTGGTCCAGAATAGTTTTAGGGGAGAACATTCTTGGGAAGCAGGAAACACTTGAGGTTTGGGATTTTGGAATAAGCCCTGGGGGAGATGGATTAGAGGGCATGTGAAGTAGTCCAAGGTGAATAATAAATGCATAGGTCTGCAATTTATAACAATATCACTGTCACATGTGGTGTGTATGGGGTTTTCCACTTAATTCAATTGGTAATTTACTTTTTTAGTTAATCTAAATCTCAGGAACCAAGCATCTTTGATTGGATAAATATTATCACTGGCCAAAATTGCCATTTAAGAGAGACTGCTTCCCACTCAAAGGGCCTAATTCTGCTTCTGCACCACTCCCATTGACTTCAATAGCAGTTATTTTTATGCATACGTGTACACACACACACGATAGTTTGGGCTAGCTTCAACTCTCTTTCATTCTGAAATCTCTAATCCACTCCATTGTTCTAACCACTAGAGAACATTCCTCTCTCCGTGCATGTGTTAGTTTCCATTAGTGCTGATGGTGGTTATGCACAGTTAAAGGGAGTACTTCCCATTGTGATGTCTTTTAATAAGTTATTACTTTTCCTTCCACTCTGTTTTAAACGTGATAAAATATTTAACATGCCTCTCCTGGATAACTGCAATGGTAGAACAAGTACTGACCAGTTACTGTTGCAACTGCCACTTTAATTTTTCGGGATAGAGAAGATTAAAATATGTATTTACACCATATTACAAACAAACAAGCAGATTCTTATTATTAGTAGTGCTATAGTTTGGGGGCGGGGTTGTGGTCAGATAGCCATGCCTCAAGTAGGTCCTGATGTCCACAGCAGCTAGGAATTTGGGTTCTGAATTCAGGCTAACACTCTCTAGAGTGGCAGGGACTGGTAGAAGTGGTGTATACGCATACCTGGAATCAGGGTATGCTTGGGTGACCCCCTCTAGCAACACTTGGTTCTAGTTGCTGTAGGAGATGCCGAGAACACTGCTATGATACTAGACCTTCTGAGAGTGGTGACGATGGTCATATCTGCCTTACCTCATTCTTTTGGACAGATATGCGGGCTCTTAGCACTGAAGCAGCTGGTCATGCACAGATCTTTCTTGTGAAAGATGGGAAGTGCTATACTGTAGTTATACAGCTCTGACTTGTGTATAGAATGGGACAAAGGATATGTTTAATTTTGTATTCTGATTTGAGTGGAGAAGCGCTCCAATAACAGATCTGCCACTGCCTCCTTCTGCTCCTCAACCTGCCAGTGTATCTTGCTCACCTGCACACCCCCACAAAGAGACCCCATATATGTTTCTTTGTAAAGAAACTTGAACATGCATAGTTTGTGAGCATAACTCATTTCCCAGCCATCAAATCTCAGTTTTTCAAGCATAAGTGCTTTATAACCAATTCTGTAGGAGACAGTATGCCCCACAGTCTGGAGTCTTACTTTAACCGCATTGTTGAGAAGTCTCTCTTTCTCTTCCAACTGTCTATGTTCGCTCTTCAGCTCGCTGCCTTTCTTTAATAATTTTCTCTTCTCTTCTTCTTTGACTGTAGAACAATAAGGTTTAGAATGTAAATGTTAAGATACAGACTGAAGAAATGGTGTGCACTGACTCATGAGAATAGGATTAAGTGTTCTAGATGGAGCACTGCGTAGGTCTACCCCGTCCCATCTCAAAATGCATAGCCAGAGAAACTGAGTTTCCAGTTGCACATAAGACAACTCTCTATCACTTTTGAAATGGTTCAAGCAGAGGACAGACATTATTCCACAACACACCTTTGAGGTGGATATAGAATCCCTATTTTATAGACAGGGAAACTAAGGCAAAGAGATTAAACTACCTGCTCAGGGCTACACAAATTCATTTAAGGATATTTCTTCTCACAAATGCTAGGTACAAAATTTCAGACAGTCATGTCTTTATTAAATCAAAACCAATACTTGTTAAAGCAAAGGCACTAGTTCTTATCAAAGACTATGTTCACATCGAGTTTCATGTTTTCAGTCATAAGAAATTTTTACACTGGCCTTGTACTTTAAAGTGTAATTAGAATTAGAGCTTGTCTTAAAATGTTTGCAAGCAGTAAATTTGCCAAAAAGTGCATTTTGGGGGGCACCAAAACTACTTGTGAATTAGGGTCAAATTTAGTGAACAGTTTTGGCCGAAAAAAGAAAATGGCTAAAAGGTTGTTTTGAAAAAAATCAAAACTGTTTCAAGACAAAGTACTGAATGGAAATGACCAGTTTCTAAATGAAATGTCAAATCAAAAAATTTGATGTTTTTGAATAGACATTAAAAAGGTTTTATTATTAATTGTTCATTCAACTTTAGAATTTTTCTGCAATTTTTCTTTTCTTTCAAACTTTTTAAAAAAACAAATTAATCTTCAATCCATGACTGAACATCGAAAACTTCAGCTGAAAGGTGAATGTTACAGAAAATTATGTGTGTGAGAACAGGGGGCTGGGATGAAAAGCATTTAGTAATACTGGCAGGCACTTTTCTTTTTCTCATTTTAAAGGTGAAACTGGGGACTAGAGAGCTTCTTATCAGGAATCATGCCATTCTGTACCTGTTTTATGAGTAACATAGGAATGAACAATAGCCAGAGTTCCAGTCCATGGCACATTTTCATCTTTCTTTAATACCTATAAATCCAGGGAGCAACAAAAATTAGTAATCCACAAAGAGAGAGAGAGAGAGAGACACACACACACTCTTAACGTCTTCCCACTCACCCCACAAAAAGAACTTTACTATTACAAAAAATGGTATAATTGGAATTATAAGTTGTAAACTGAAATGCAGTGGAAAAATACTGTAACTTTTATTTTACTTCACTATAAACAGTGTCACTACATAATTGCTAGGATGGGGTTTTCAAATCTCACACTGGATCATCACCACAGAGGACCAAAAGGAATTATTCTCCAGCCCCCTTCATACAGGCTTACACAATTTCCAGGACAGTTAGAGGTATTTTGCCTACCTATTAGATAGAATACTGGAGATAGAATACTGGACTTGATGTATCATCATTCTGATCTAAGATGGCCAATTGCACTGGGTATGAGAAAGAGAAGATAGGCTGGTTCCACTGAATGTAAATATAGACCAGCAATTCTCTTTGACATTTCCAAAGAAACTAAATAGTAATTTTTCCTAGGGGCTAGAGCAGAGAATTCTAAGGAACAAAAATTAAGTCCGCTCATTCTGAAATTCAGCAACATTGTTTTACAGTTCTTACAAACCTGGTGCTAATCATTTGGCTTGTGTGAACACTGTTAGAATTGCATTTATAAAATGATTATCAATAGCTGCATATGATAAATCTTATAAAGAAGATGGCGTACTCTCCTTACAACCTTCAGATCCTCTGGTGCATTGTTTGTGCATGACACTGTCTCCTCCGTCTGCAAGAACTACATTACTTGCTTTGCAATTGTACGTACAGGTGGTTTTTATTGTAGAGAAGAAAAACATAAAGGAAATGAACAGCCATTTTTAATCTTTCAGCGTAAATCTTGAGGGATGCAATACCATGAAATCAGGAGGGGAAAAATGTAAGGTAAGGTATGAGACCAGTACTGTGAAACTACCAAGCAACAAAAGCAGCAAATTACCGAAGAAACTTCAATGCAGCAGAATTTCAGTGTTATGGACACCTCAGGAATGGAGGTTGTGTCTGTAACTCTGAAATGTTTGTAACTCTGAACAAAGCACAGTTCAGGCTCCAGATCCAGTAGCTGACACTTCAGGCCACAAAGCTCTGGCAGCTTCCTTTCTGGGTTGGACTGCGTTTGCAAGCTTGTCCCCCCTCCCGGAAGAGAGAGAGAGAGAGAAAACGTGTCCCCCTCCCAGCTGAGGAATGGGGGTGGGTAAAAACAGCATGTCCCCCTCCCGATGGGGGGTAGAGGAGGAAGGGGTGAAAGTGGCACAGACCCCAGCACTGTTCCTGCTCTGTTGGCTCTGGCTGCCTTAGGTTGACAGCCCCAGCTTCTTCACCTCCTAGCTGTAAGTGTCTGCCCAGCATGTGGGGGTGAGGTGGGAACAGGCAGCCCAGCCAGCCTACTTTTAAGATGCAAAACAGACACAGTAGATTATTTGACTTTTTTTTTTAGTCTCTGCTGCTGCCTGATCGGTTACTTCCGGTTTCACATGGTGCCTGGTTGACTGGTCAGTCCTTTATTCTGGTGTTTGTATCTTTGAGGTTCTACTGTATTACTTTTGATAATCTTGTCTCCTTAGCTAGTATGGTAGGCTGAAACAGCCTCTAGAATTATGATGTACAAACTCACTCTCTCCTTTTTTCTTTTCTTGGAAAGACTGCAATACACATGCCTCAACTCACTTACCTTTTGTTGGCACTTTGGGCAGGCCCAAACCCCTTTGGGGACAGTTTTAAGAGGAGGGTCCAAGCAATTGAGATGATATGCTCTTGGACATGTGCCACATGGTTGCAAGTTAATGCCACGCTTACATGCTGTACAGTGTTCATCGTGGTGGATTTCATTCTGAAAGATAAGAAAAGGGTAGGTTGGGTCAAGTCAACTCTTAACATAACTTTCCATGAGCAGCACTTGGAGTCACTACTTCACCAGACAGACCATTCAAACACAATATCTCATTTTCAAAAGCTTCCTCGCTGCTGTAGAAGGAAGACAAACAATTTTGTACTCATCAGCAACAAACAAACAAAATCCAATGAGTTGCAACAAATAGAAAAAATGTGAAATAATCAAACAATCACACAGACAGCAATCAAACACAGATATGAATCAACTAATGTTTCCAGCCTGTAATGTTATAAATTATTCCTCTCTGTTTCTGGGAGTGTGTCACTGTCACTTCCAACACACATATATCACCAGGTGCAGTTCTATTTTGATGAGTGGGCCAATGTCAATATGTGGCTCACTTGTCCTTCAAGTCCACAGTAAAAGCAAGCAAGCACAAGTTTCTGGGGAAAAAAAAAGCACAGTTCCAAGTCTTATGCACACTGCCTTGAAGAGCAGCTAGGGAAACAAGCATGAATACAACTTTCTCCCACATGCCCCCTCACAAATTTCCTATAGAGGGCCCCCATCCCTCTCTTCTCTATTTCGTTAATTATTGTTTTCTGATTTAAACCAGACAGATCCACTACAAAAACCTTTCTCAAACAAGACTGATTAGTACTTTATCTGTAGTTCATTTTATATATTGCTAAATCTCATTAACAAAGTTACAATGTCATGTAGTAAATTGTTATGCTAATCTGGTGGCACTGTTAATTACTCTTCATATAATTAACTACATTTTAATAAAAGAGAGACTGATTTTGGAACTCTCATGGTTTGTGAATCATTACATAAAAAACTCAATTTTCCTACTAGTTTTCCAGGGGAAAAAAAGTGATTTATTGAAATAAGTTTATTCTATAATCATGTTTTCATCTTTCAGAATATCATTTTTACAAAGTTTCATGTCAGCTTTATCCAGCATCAGATCCTAAACTCAAAATTACTCTTGTCCAAAATGCCTCTCCAAAAATGTCAATATTAGAAAGCACTATTAAAAATGTCTAGATTGTAACCTTAACAGAGAGAGATCTACTCAAGTAGAACAGTAAATATTTTTCTTAGCTGTTTATTAATACCACAAAGCTAAACCAGCATTTTCTCAATCAATGGATTCTACAAAGTATTAAATTAAAACCTGTGAACACGAAAGCACACAAGTTCAGCTTGTTCTGAAATTCTGCTTTAATGGCTCAAAGATTTAGGTAAACTGGAGAGATTCCAGAAATGGTAGGAAAAAAAAAGGGAAAGGAAACATTGCAATTTTGTACCCTGGCAGAGACTACACTAATTAACAGCTAGCACTGTATTACATGATGATGAGACAGACAGTGGTAATATACAAATCTTGCTAAACATACCTTCCAACATGGATCCTCATTTGCTAGCACATGAAAGAAGGGCAGAGAACAAGTTAGTGGACAACACATCAGTGCAATGAATTTTAGTCAAGCCATGACACAAATGATGAAAGAAGGGGGGGTTACAGCCAGTTATTTTAACGTGGACATGAGAGAGTGACACTTGAAATAACACCAATGAACGTTTTAGTATTCAGAGCTGTATGTTATTTAGGTTTCAGGATTCGGGCATCTGAAACTCTAAATGCTGAAGATGTTAAAAAATTTCATAGTACCAAAAGGTTGAGGTCTGTCCTAAACTTCCGATCGATAGGAACTGTCCATGCTTAACTAGATAGGAAAAATTTTTCTCTAAAGGTTTGACTCTTCCAAAGCGGAACACTCTGGCCCCCAACCAGCAGAGCACTTAAGCAGGTGCTTACCTTTTCAGTAGAGGTGTAGTCCCATTGACTTACAGTTAAGCATGTGTTTAAATGCTTTTCTGACTCATGGCTAGAGTGCTCAACACCTTGCAGCATCGGGCATTATATTATCATCAACCCTTCTACATCAGAATCGCTCATGTCAAAAAAGTGTGTCATGTTTTGGGCTATCGCTTAGATGACTCTTTAATGGTTGTAGCCCAAGCCTGATGGAAAGAGTAGTTAGAGGTGGTTGAAAAATACACTGAATTTTTCAAGAAACTGTTTGGAAAAATTAATTCTTTAATGTTTTTTTTTCACAACAGCAAGTCTGTAATTTCCATTGCTGAGTCACAAAACACTTGGGCACAATGTCTCACTGAAAAGTCCTAGAATCTCTCTCCTGCGCTCCTGTAAGTCAGCTGATGGAGTAGTCTTTCTTTGGGTTAGGAGATGGAAGTGATGTGGAAACTTCTTTCTTGTGCTCCTTTTTTGATCACATATTATCTGGTGTGTGTCTACATACGTATGGCAGACAGAATTTGATCCACATGTCCAAAGCACCACTTGTATTCATGCTCACACACACTGAGCACAGTGAAACTATGATTATTCAGATGAACGGGGCACATGAAAGCTATTCAGATAAACAGAGGGGTGGATAATTGGAGAGTTTTTGATATAGGCGATGCATGTCAGGGACATGACCTCATTTCAGCTAAGAGATTTTTCCCAACAAACAAAATCTGAGTAATTGACATTTCACCGAGAATATCACAAGCACCATTCTCTCCTACGCTTTTTGTAAAGGAAGAGCTGTTTCCTGCACACTGTGTTTTCTTTAACAAATATACAATGCTTTTCAAAAATAAATAAATCCTTTTTGGTTCACATTTGTCAATAAAGTTGACCTACTCTAAGTGTCCACTTTTTCCTCTTCTACCTGCTGGAATGATCTAAACTGAAAATTATTTTTAAAGGGAGGTTGGTATAATAAGCAAGTTGGTGAGCTATGCAATGGAGACAATTACATTAGAGTGTAAATTCTCTGGGACAGGGACTGTCTTGCTTTTCTGTGTTTGTACAATACCTAGCACAATGGGGTCCATCACTGGGGCTCCTAGGTGATACCACAATACAAATATATAATAACTAAAGCTGTGAGCTATGTAATTAAGACAGACAATGGAGCAATTGTTCAGCACAGCAACAGGGATTTTAGATATTAGGAAGAATAGTTATAGTGCTTACTAAAATAACTAACAATTAAGGTAAAACAGTGTCATATCCCAAGCAGCTTTGTGACAGTCATGCCACTGAAGCTTTGTCACCTGTCTAAAAACATGGACACACAGAGGAAACAAGGAGATTTACTGAGGGTCTGAGAGTAACCTAGCTAATGTCGTTCTCTCTAGGCATGTGTTTACAGGGAAACACAGGCATCAGTATTAAGTTGTATAAGAAGAGTAAGGAAAATGGGATATCAGCAACATAGGAAGAAAAGACCAAAGCAGGTCACAACTTTGCATCTGTATTAAAATGGCACTTTTAATTGCACCTTAATACTTAAAAATATTTTTTTTATTGTAGAAAAAGGATAAAGGTCCCTGTCCTTTCCTACCTCTAAAGTACTATCGTGTATAAACAGTAGAATCTAAGTTGTAGCAGCTGCATCAGAGGAAAGAAATATTCACATCTTTTTACAGTCTTCCTCTCCTGTTCTGCAATGTATTCAAGCCCCTCATCCTCAGTTCTACACAGCACTGTCCCCCCTACAATGCAATTTTTATTTCCTTTTATGTTCTGTTTAATCCTCTCTCCTCAACTTTCCCTCTTTCTTCCCTTTTTTCCACTCTTGGTTCTGTGCCTTTTCGCATGCTGCCCCTTATGCCTGCCACTTATTCCTTCTTCCCATGAGCCATTACTTTTCTTCTCCAAATTTAGTTCAGTGTTGCCAATTTGTTTTTATTGTGAAATCTTACAAATATTTAGTGTTTTCCTTAAAGGCTCAGCTCCTGGAGTCACTGAGTACATGAGAATTTCACTGTTTCCTTTGAAAACTAAGTTTCTACTCTCATAGTTACAGAGTATAGTTGGAAAATAGAAAAGGAGGACTTGTGGCACCTTAGAGACTAACCAATTTATTTGAGCATGAGCTTTCGTGAGCTACAACTCACTTCACGAAAGCTCATGCTCAAATAAATTGGTTAGTCTCTAAGGTGCCACAAGTACTCCTTTTCTTTTTGCGAATACAGACTAACACGGCTGTTACTCTGAAACCTGTCATTATAGTTGGAAAATGTGAACCCTAAAAGCTGAAAACCAGAAGATAAATGAAAAGACCCCCTAATGTATTTTTTTAGTCTAATCCCTTGGTTTTTGAACATTTGGAATTGCAATACTGCCTCCTTAACATCTACTTTTTCCCTACAACACTAGAAACCTGATCTTTCCACTGATTTCCCAGGGCTTTGGGGATCATGCTATATATCCTTATGACTCCATAACTTTATCTTTTGTTTTGCAGTGTAACCATCTATTTTCATTGCACAGTCCAAGGGGCAGGGGTCTTGTATAGCTATGCACACTATGGTACTCTAGAAGTAATTAATAACAAATACAACTAATAAATATTTAATACCACATCATAATAGCAATGTATTCATTTAAAAAATACTTACCTCTTGCTGAAAGGAACAAGGGGTTATTCAAATAATTTGATGCAAGGCGTTTCCGCTGCAAAGGGAGAGAAAAGAAACCCTACTGTTATCTCAAGAGCTCTGGCTCTCTTATACTTTTCTACCATCAGTCTCGAAGGAATTTCCTTCATGCATAATCAGTACTCAAAAAGCTAATTCTGTGACTCAGAATATACTCTGCTTAAGGCTTCTCAGATGGTCAACTAAACCATATACAGCTGCATTATTCATCTTCTAGCAAGGTTTCTACAGACCACTTTATTAGATTTTATTAACAAGTGGTAAATGCAAATTACCAACATTATTGATTGGGCTTCAGGAGTGGTTCCTGGGGTCTGTAAACAGTACTAAAAAACCTGACACCCAAAGAACATTTATCATAAACAAATACATACTAAATTGTTGCTGTGAGACAACACTTTTATTAGTGTCGATAGAATTGGTGATGAACTTTCTACAGGAGGGGGAAAGAAGTCACCACTTTGTGTGACAATTATCTGCATTTGATACACGTAAATTTTGATTGCAAGCTGTACACAAAGGCCTTGGGAAAATATTTCCCCCCAAACATTAATGTGCACTACCTTTAGGTGTCAGAGGTCATCTCAGTCTGAAAGAATTTCAAACCTATGGACACCTGTTCTCTAGGTACTTAATTGAGACAACCAAATAACATTCCAACCAGTTACCAGATGGTAACAGCTATTGGTCACTAGAAACTTGGGTTTGCAGTCTAGAGAATAAAGGTCTCCATCCACGGTAATTGCTTTCCTGAGCCATCCAGTTCCTGGGCCGTGACCTTACAAAGAGTGCTGTGCTCCTCCAATATATGTTGTTGAACCTACTTTCAGGAAAATCAGAGTTTTCTTTCTAACAAATGATTTATTCAGTGGTTAGTAAACTGCTTTCTAGTGTCATGCTCTTCAGAATACATGAATGACTGGATGGCTAATGAATTTTCAGTTGACATCTGTTCCTTCAGAAAACATTCAGCCTGAAACATAGCCTTCCTTCTGTTTTAAAAAATATACTACCCAGGGTGGAAGAATGGAATAATTTCTTCACAGCATAAAACCCCCAAACATGCTTTTGGGCAGAGATTTAGCTGCAGAAACAGAAGTCCAATTTGAAACAGCAACTTCATATTCACAATCAAGGCAGTTAACAGCACAATGAAGCACATTTTCTTGGCTCCGGCAGTTTGGGGGAGGGGGCAAGTAAGAAGTGTAATTTATATGCAATTTCAATTTAAACAATCATGAATTAAAGATCATCCACTAGATCAGTTGTAAATTAAACTGCGCCAAAATGTCTGAAAAATGCCACAAAATACCTCAGCTCACTGATTAGTAAATCAATCTGAGAAGCTAATTGATTGGAGGAATACCATCTGCTTCCATTTTATTTGAATGACATTCCCTATGGTCAGTCCTTAATGACAGCTCTTAATGAGGGCAGAACTGGTCAGACATGACTCTCTCATTTTAAGATTCTTTCTACATGCTATTCTTCACTTCAGGATATACTTTTGAGAATAAAGTCTAATAAGAACAAGGATATGATAAATGTATTTACCTCCTCATCAACCCTATACAAGTTAATTTAATTTCTCAAAAATACTGCTCAGGTTAGGACCAAAAAACCCATGCAAAATACATTTTAAACAATCCAGTAGTAGTACACTTCAAGCCAAATGGACCTTATATGAGACAACACAAATAAAATACGAATAATACTGAGGTCCCCATTGAGCTGGGCACTATATGCACATATAGCAAGAGACTCACAGTTTGAATTAATAAGACAGAGGGGGTGGGGAAAAGGAAACATCAACATTCCCCATCTGTGTAATAGGGATAACTGAGGCAGAAAGAGATTAAGCAATTTGCCCAATGTTACAAAGCAAGTCTGTGGGAAGACTGGGAATAGAATTCAGGTCTCCTGAAACCCACTCCACTGCCGTAAACTGCAAGACCAACCTTCCTCACAAATAAGTCACTCAAAAATCCATTTACATTCTGCTTACCAGTTAGTTCCCTTCTCTCAACAATCAACTACCTCCCCTCTACCACATTGGCCAAAATAACTGGAAATCTCAAAAAGCTGGTTTAGCTAAGAGTCTTCATTGCTGATAATTTGTTAAGCAAAATCCGTGTCCTTTGGTTTATAGCACACAGGAAAAACTAATATATGATCCTTATACGTAGAGCTTGCCAGAAACCAAAATTTCCATTCTATGGGAGATTTCAATTTTTTTTATTCTGAATTACAATTGAATGATAACATTTCTAAATTCCCTGTGGAACAAAGATTCTGAAAAATTTTAATTGAAAACTATCATAACATTTAGTTTAGATAATGTCTAATAGCTTCCTTGTCAACATATTTCATTTTAATATGGTAAAATGTTTCATTTTAATAATGTTGATCCATTTTGTTAACTTTTATTACAGTAAAATATTAATTTTAATGATATAAAAGTAAATCTACATGATAGGTAAAATGCTTTTAACCTTTTCAAAATATTTTGCCATTATCAGAACAAAATGAGAAAGTCAAAATGTACGTTTTTTTTTTTAAATAACCCAAGCTTTGAATCCAATGCTAGACGAGGGTCAAATTTTGTCACACCTGCGAAAGCTCATTGAATATGGTAGTACTGGAATAAAAGAGCAGAAATTAGATGCCAGGGTTTCACTTCAGAGTTCCTTTATTATCAACAGGACCCATAGGCACATTAGTTAATAAATGCTCGTGAAAGGGCTAGATTGTCTTCTTTGGAAAATGAAGTCTTCTCTGCTTTTTCATTGACAAGTATTACATGTGTAGCAGCAGTGCACGTTTCAACATACTGACCCACCACTGTTCTTCAGTCCTGACCTGGAAAGACCCTCCTCTATGGGAAAGAGAGTAATTAGGTCCCATGTTTATTTAGTCTTTTTTGGCCTCTGCTCAGACCATCAACAAGAGTTCCAGTTAGAGCCAAATGATGTTCGGATGTGAAAAGCTGTTGCCTAGAAACTGAGATAAAACATGTTTGTTTTATACCCCCACCCCCACCAATCATATGAGTTCCTCATTCATATGTACTTTTGCAATAAGAAGCACTTAAGCCTTTTATTGGAATAGAACAGAACTGTGGTGAAAAGTGAATGATAAAGTACCTCAGTTTCCAAGAGTCCGCTGTAGGCTGGATTTGCTGTGCTTCTTCTCTTTCTTTCCTGACGCTTGCTCTGGATTTCTGTAACCATGGAAAGAAACGTTCATTGTGTGTTTTTCATTCATCAGGGGAAAATGTAGATCTAACTTGCTAAGCAAGATGCTCTTGCCCCCAACGCCTTGGGCATTGTGTTCAGTTTCAGTTTCTACAGTATAATTGGGTTGCCTCAGTATTGATAGTTGCTGCAGTTCAAGGTCTGATATTACTAAGCCTTTCTTATAAAATTCAAACACAGGCACTTTTATTTCATCTTCCTCCAAAACAGGCTTGCTCTGCACTAAAAGATTTTATTATGATCCCTTCAGAAACATATTTAGAAAGCTCCTTCAGATGGCTTTCAAAACACTACCAATATCTGTTATTAAAAAAAAAAAAGTATATCAAACATATATCCCTTGCAAGTTGTATCCAGTAAAAATCACAGGGCTATTTTGAAATTTTACTGTATATTGGTTTTGTTTTCCTCAGGTTAGGAAGGTGATGAAAATCAGGGTCATAATGAGAAGCTAAATTCAATCTTAACTATGGACTGATAATTTGTCTGTCCATAATATACAATATTATGATCTTGTGCATAGAATGCAGTATCGGTTACTGGCACAGGCAGAAGTAAGGCCTTCTAAGGTCATCATCATAATTGGAACTCCAGACGCACCAAGTCACAGTCCTATTTAGAAGTAGGGAAACACAGGAAAACACTTGTTTTCCTACACCAAAAGGGATTTAGGAGTAACATTGGCTGTGAAAATGCAGCATACCTCTGTAAATATACAAAGATGTAGATAGGGTAAAATCCTGACCCCATTGACGACAATAGGGCCAGGATTTCACCTGGTGTATTTCACTTTATTCTTTGCAAACTGCTTTTGAAAATGGAGGAAGATGTTTACTATGTCAGTGTATTTTATAGCCTTCATTTTTCAAATCAACTAGTAATCTTGGATGCGCCATTTCTGGGGACTCAGCACTTTCTGAAAATCAGGCTCCTGAAACGTGTCAAGTTGAATTCTGAAAATCACTAGTCACTTCTGGAAAAACTGAGGCTTATATACCCTATCTTTTCTCATTTGTTAGTGCTGGTGAAAAACGCTAGAGACTGAAGTCTATGTATCTACAGGCAGCAGCTGTACAAACTTTTTCTCAATGTCGCGATATCATGACCATAAGGGGCTACCTCTAGTAGCAAGAAATTAGTTCACCCCAAATGCCCATCCAGCCTTTGGCTTTAGCTGAGGTTGCCAACAAGTGTGCTGGAGGGTTTTGGTGATGTGGACACTCACTGAGTAAGAACTGGATTGAGAAAACTAAGCTCAAGTCCCCCACAGGGCATGCCCAGTCACCAGATTGTCATTGATGCTGGATCCAGGATGCACTCTGGTGACCCACTCTGGTGAAATGTTTGGTTCTCACCGCCAATGCCACAAGTATGCATGTGTATTTTTTTTAAAAGAAAAAGCTAAAAAGAAATACTTTAGGTGGGTGTCATACATCAGCAACACATTAACTGGAAATCAGCTTTGTCCCCAGTGAAGCATCAGTCCACTACCACCATCACCAATGAATATCTCTTGTAAATTGGTCTATGCAGCCTATATTGACAATGTATCCTGAGTGACATGTACCTCTTACAAAAATCCAGCTCAAGGTTCATGTGTTCCATTTACTACTTAAACTCTCAAAAGAGAGTGCATATGGCTCAGGTTGACTCTCTGCAGGGCAGTGTGATGCTCCCAATGAAGGGAAAGAAACTTTTCTGGAAGTTAGCTGGCAGGGTTGCTAGGCTGAAGTGGATCACAGCCCATAAGTTGTCTAGGGCCCTCAACCACAAAGTAAATCAATATAAAGGAAGGCAAAAGATATTACATAATAGAGTAATGATATCAAATAAGTTTTAATGACCCAGTCTGAATATGCTTTATGTTTTTACTTCCAAAAGCGTAAAATTGCTAAACACATTAGACACACTAAAATAAGCTGAATTTAATGACCAATACTGCCTGACAAACAGCAATGACTGGTAACAGTAAACATGACAAAGGATTGAAATAATAAACTCTCAGGAGTGTGAAATCTGTTGAGGTACTTTTCTTTGACAGTTGTAATCACCACTAATTGTGAAGAAATACCCTTTCTATAGTAAATGACTTTATATGGAGCCATTTATTTAGAAGCAGTAGGAATATTAAAAAAAGTGAATTTGTCTAAAGGGACTAATTTTGCAGGATTAGAATAGTATGTAGATTCAAAAATGTAAGTCTTTGCACTTACAGTATAAGGAAGAAAATTGGGTGCTACCTGGTATTTTCAACATAGTGGCATAGAATTAGTATGTTTTAATGAAACCCAAGGGCAACAGAATTATTCAAAATGATGCTCTTCATGCACTTTATCATAATTTCAGATTCTGCCCCATTTTCCTCAAATATAAAAGAGAACATGAATAATCTCTAAGACTTGCAATCATCATCTGTACTTTTGAATTATAAGAGATGCGCAAAAAAATGCTCTCTCTTAATTTCCATTTCAATCTATTTCCATTAAGGATTAGGAAAGGTGACATCTTAAACTTTCTTTAAACCGCTTTCAAATTTTCAGTCTTCAGGACACTAGGATGATTTTCTAAAATGCAAATATAAAGAGAAAAGCCATTCTGGAAAATCGAGGAACAAAATTAAAGAAAACATACTGCATATTTTGGCATGATATTGTTATTAAAATGCTACGGTCTCCCGATACACTGAATAAAAAAAATTAATGTACTAGAGAACTAGGAAGATGAGTGGTTTTATTAAAAAATACATAAAAATCAAATTTTCCAATGGTAACACGGGCTCTAACTCAGATACTGAAGTACGTGCCTGACTTTAAGCATGAGTAGTCTCATTGATTTTTCTAAGAGCTTGTCTACACAGTGGGGTAATGCTCTTTACCGGGGTGTGATTTCTAAAGTGCACTAACATACACATTAATTGGTCCATGCAAACCCTGCTGGTGTGCATTAAAAGTTCCCTAGGGTGCTCTGTAGTGCTGTTTTAAACAATACTACATTAAAGCCCTCTGGAGAACCTCTAGTGCGCACCAGCAGGGCTACATGGGCCAATTAATGCATAACACATTAGCGTGCTTTAGAAATTACACCTCCCATAGAGCACATAACCCCAATGGGTAGGCAAGCCCTAAGACTACTCGCATGCTGAAAGTTAGACATATGCTTAAGTATCTTCCTGAATGGGAGCCATAAGATAGGAGTTTAGTAAATTAGTTAGTAATTTATGATTCAATCATGCAAAATCAAAGGCCAGATTCTCAACTGGCATAAGCTCCAGTGACTATGATGGAACTATACCAATTTATACCTGCTGTGGATTTGGACCCAAGTTTTTATAGAAAAAAATGCACTGCCTGAAATTTGTAGTTTATGTTTGGATCTCTTCCCCTTGCTGCCAAAAAATCTATTTCACACCTGCAGCAAATGTGCAAATCAGGCCACTTTTCCCCATCTACACTTTCACAACAGAAAAAGAGGCACAAATCTGTTAATTCTTGCAGTTTATTTTTGAAGACTGATCATGGGACTACAGAGGTCACAGAACACATAGGGATCAAACACACTGAAAGATGGACATTGGCCCAGATTATCCATTGTGCCAGCTTTCTAGCTGGTGCAGCAAGTGGATTGGGAGAGGGGAGGAAATCTGCCTACTGAAAGGGTTGGCAAATTGGCTCTCTGATTCATTACCCAGATCTGCGTTGGTCACAGCTTTGGTGGAGTTTAGGTTTTCTAACCTATGACACTCGCAACAGTTCTCAAGGGGCCATCTACCAGCTGGGGACTGCTTGAGAGCAGAGCATTCTTGCCAGACCCCCTCCTGACCCATTATGCCAGGCGTCCCAGCTGAGGAGTCAATTTCTGCTCCCTGTGAGGCATGCAAAGAGAGCTAAGCAAGAGCCAGAGGCTCTGATCCATTATTTTTAGGATGGGACAGTTGAGCATTGTTAAGATTTTACCAAATCCTTCAGCTTTCTGTAGACAGATTCCTCATTGATTCTTACTGTCTGTAGCATAGTATGGAGAACAGATGAGATTACAGACTAAAGTGTAACTGTAAAACAATATATGAATACTTACCTTCCAAGTGTTCTGTTGTAACCAGGCCTAATGCTACCATAAAGGCAATTTTCTAGGGAAAAATTAAGAAAGTTCAGTTTTGCATCCTATGATAACAACTGTAAAAAAATGCCAGCTTTGCCAGAATAAACTCCATTTAGGGATTTTATAAAATTTTACTTTCTGAATAAATATATAACAATGTGAACTTAAACTGAAGATCTTCTTCAGTTACATGTGAACAGACATATGCTACATGCATGATTATATGAGTCTTGGTAACAAGCATAGGTTTACCAAAATCCAATGATATAAACATAAGAATTTACAGCATGATCAAAACTCCACCCCGATCCTGCTATTTTTATGCTAGAAAATTTCCAGAGAAATGTTTAGTTCATTATTATTATTGGTTGGACGTGTTATAAATTAAACAGGCCAGTGATACACTCACTAAGCTTTACACCACTATGTATATTCTAATAATTAGCTGTTACTGAAGGCATATTAGGCATGTTTTCCTATTGCCATTCAAAGTCTGCCCCTCCCAAACACTGTAGAAAGAATCTCACACATCTAAATTAGTCAGACACAGGGTTGCCTTACAACTGGACCCAACATCTTCCAGCAGATAATGAACAAGCATCTCCCACTGACTTCAGTTGGAGCCATGTTGTAAAGCAGAATCTGGCCCATAATAATACATAGCATTTTTATACAATGTGTACATTCAAATCACTAAACATACACTAATGACTCTTCCCAACACACTGATAGGTAGGTGGACAAGAAGTGCAGTTGGTCAGGAATTTTACATCAACATGATTTTTTCAGTGGAAAATGCAGTTTCAGCAAAATTGAAATTCAGTTTTTCTAAAATGTTTCTATTTTCTTGTAATATTTTGGTTTGTATTGTTTTGACATGAACTGAAATATTTTGGTTTGTGGAAGTGGGCCAAACTATTTAGTTTTGCCTCATTTTGACATTAAACTACATCTGCCCACAGTGCCTCATAGTCTTATTTTCCCCTATGGGACAGGCTCTTTGGCAGGACTACATCTCCCAGGATGCATGGCAATCTCCCCAAACTGAAAGACATGCTGCAACATGGAGGCACATGACTGCAGGTGAATCGAGAGAGTAGCAGTCTGATCAGAGAGCTCAGCCCTTGGGGACAAGAGGCACCTTAACTGCAATGTCCATGAAGTGCCATGGCACTATAGGCAGGTGCAGTTAAGTGTCAAACTGACTCCAAATGAAATGTTTAGATTCATTTTGTTTTGATCAAAAGCATCAAAACGAAACATTTAGATATTTCCTAATTGAAAATTAAAGTTTTCATTCAGTGAAAAATGTTCACATTTTGACTTTTTGTCCCTATTTGGGATGAAAACATAGCTGAAATACCAGAATTTCCAGTTGTGATGAGAATTCCGATTTTCAGATCTAGTAAGCATTATTATCTTCATTTTACACATGACGAAACTGCAAATCAGGGGCACAAAGGGCAGAGTTGGGTGCCTTTATCCTTTTTGTTCCTTTTAAAGTCTTTATCAGAAAGATGAAGTGATATGCCCAAGACCACACAGTGACGCAATGGCGGAGCTAGGATTGAAACTGGGGAGCTCCTGACTGCCAAATCCATACTCATTCTGCCAAACCACATAGTCTGCTCAAGGCTCAGTTCTTGCCATAGATAAAAAATGGGTAAGTGGCATCTCAGCACTGGCAAGCTGGATGATAGTTAGGATTAAATTGCCTCTTCAGCTACTGTGGTGATGATGGGCACATAACCGACTGATAGATTTGCATGACAAATCTTAACTCCGATAATCTGCCCTCCTTACACATATGAAACACCAGCTGGTATCAGAGGGGGTCCTGCATGAAGGAAAAGCAGAATATCTGATCTGAGATCCACTGTGCAGATCTGAGAGGGGAATTTTGTCAATAGATTTGAATTACAAGCAGCACCTGACAAGAGAAGCTGGGAGTTAACTTTACAGCATGATGAACCTTACCTTTAGTGATTCAATAGCCTTTTTAATTTCAGGCTTAGAAATTTTGAACAGTCAATATTTGATTAAATTCTCATAGCAGAGCCATAAATGCATATGATATTACCTGAAAATTAAACTGTGAGGAGGAGCAAAGTGTCAATCTCTTGAATCTAAAATTAAATTGAGATTGGAACCCCTGCTAAATAATTTCCACTTTTTATTACAAAAAGTATTTTAATAAAATTTTCTAACAGAATTAACGATAGCATAGTTATTTAACATATGCACAGTATTCATTAAATGGACCTGATAGTTATCTCACTATTAAGGATAGAGGAGTCAGACCTTAATAGATGTCTGCAAGACAATTTCGTTTTTAAAAACCGTAGTACGAGCTGTATTTCTTTAACGAGTATTATTTTAATGGTATATGTATTTTTATGGGCTTCACTTTTTCATAATGATGTGTTCAACTGAATTTCACTCAAAACACTACCTCCACAGCTATGCATTTTTCCACAAATCTGAGGAGCTACAATGGAAAATTGCTAATTCTCACTGCACTAATCCATAAAAGTGATAATTCAGTCTATCCAGGTTCTCATTTCACATTCATCTCGATGGTATATCAGCCCCTTAAATGTGTTTAAAACTGAAGCATCAATCTCTCTGTTCCTTTCCTCTGTAGATAGGAGTAGTAAACTGTTTTGACTGTAGTATTTTCTTTTAACTGTGCGGAAAAATATTGCAAGAAAGCTATACTGAGGAAATGAGTGAGAAATCTTAATTGAAAAAAAACCCAGGAAATTGATTCTGCTAAAAATTTCAAAATTATGAAGGTTTTCCCATTTTCCAGGATTCACCATGAACATTTCTGGCAACATTTTCTGTGACTTCTAATTAAAATTTTAATTAAAATTATCAACTTTTTTCATTTACCAAAAAGTGTGTATTCAGCAGCCAAAATTCTTCCATATAGTTTTAATAAAATCTTAATTTTTTAAATTAAAATGTTGCTAAAAATGTCATGGAAAACATTGCCAAAAATGGAAAATCTCACTGTCAGCAAGTTTTTGCAAAAAGTTTTGTTTTCTTAAAGAGGCCATGTTCTAATGAAAAAACATTTGGTGCATATTTTTGTTGACAAGCTCTATAAATCAGTTTTATATTTAGGCCCCACTTCAAAAAGGTATTTAACAGCATGCATTACTTTAAGCATTTCAGTGGCCACTCAAGCAGTCAGTTAATGCCAAAATTACGCACATGCTTAAGTACTTTGCTGAATCAGGGACCTAGATTTGATAATACTGTGATCCGTTTACGCAACTCACATCTCTTTAAAACAAGCCAGTTTTCTCCATGACTTATCAGCAAAAATTGAGTGGGTACTTCCTTAAAGAGGAAGCATAGCTCAGTACAGTAACTCCTCACTTAAAGTTGTCCCGGTTAATGTTGTTTTGTTGTTATGTCGCTGATCAGTTAGGGAACATGCTCGTTTATAGTTGTGCAATGCTCCCTTATAACGTTGTTTGGCAGCTGCCTTTGTCCACTGCTTGCAGGAAGAGCAGCCCTTTGGAGCTAGCTGGTGGGGGCTTGGAACCAGGGTGGACCGGCAGCCCCCATCAGCTCTCCGCTCCCCTAAGTTCCCTGTGCGGCAGTCGCCCAGCAGGCTACCAATTGCTGGCAGTTCAGCTGTCCCTCCCCCCACTGCCATGTGCTGCTCCTGCTCCTCTGCCTTGGAGCTGCTCCTGGGAGCCTCTTGCTTGCTGTGGGGGGGGAGCGGGGGGTGGAAGAAGGGTGCTAATGTCAGGGTGTCCCCCTCCCCCTGCTCCTGTTCCCCGCTTACCCCATCTCCAAGAGCAGGTGGGGACACGACAGGGCTCAGGACAGAGGGAGCCTGCTGGCAGCAACTGCTGCCTCAACTTGCTGACCTACTTAAAAAGGCAATGTACTTAGAGTGGCATCAGAGTACTTAAAGGGGCAATGCGCATCTCTCTCTCTCACACACACAGGGTGTGTGTCTCTGTCTCTGTCTGCCATGCTGTCTCCCCTCCCTCCATTTGTGCTGCCTTGTAGAGTATGAGGCTACATCAACAACAATGTGTTAACCCTTGAGGGCTCAGCCAAGTGCTAGTTCATCATTTAGCAGTAAGGCATTCCCTGGGAAATAGCCCACCCTCTGACTTCACCACCTCAACCAAGCTTCACAATCATCATTGCTGTGTACAGTATTAAATTGTTTGTTTAGAATTTATACTGCGTATAGATATATAAAACATAGTCTTTTGTCTGGTGAAAAAAAATTTCCTGGGAACCTACCCCCCCCCCCCCACTCCCCATTTACATTAATTCTTATGGGGAAATTGGATTCGCTTAACATTGTTTCGCTTAAAGTCGCATTTTTCAGGAACATAACTACAATGTTAAGCGAGGAGTTACTGTAGTTAGGACACAATTCCTTTGGGCAAAGCACTTACGGCCAGATTTTTAAAGATACATAGATGCTTAAAAATGCAGATTTCCAAAAACAGATTGAAAATCAATGCAAGCTAGGCCACACCTGCTTTTGAAAATCCCACTATGTGCCTATCTGCATCTTCAAGCACCTCCATACTTTTAAAAGTCTCTGATCCCCATCTGTAGAACAGAAACAATATTATTTCTCCAATTCACAGGGCTGTTGTAAGGCTAAATACATTAAAGAATGTAAGGTGCTCAGATACTGTAGTAAGGGAGCTAGCTAAGTAGAAGGCTTCATTACTTGTACCAAGTGTACTACTGTACATTTAACATCATGCTACGAAATCTTATCATAATTAAAACTACATTTATAAAAATCCATTAAAGTACTATATATATATACATATATGTATATTATGGAGTTTGTTCATTTATTTGTAACATTGAGCAATCCACAGTGGGGTTGTTGGCCATTAGCAAAAATTAGCAAGGTCCTTTTGTATTTTCTGTATTTTTAATTGTGAATTCCAATCTTTCATCATTGACATTTATTTACAGAATTTCAATCCAAGTTCCTATTTATGTTCTGTGCTTTTAAGATAAATAAAGGAGCAAGTGCTTACATTGTGCATATATAATGCATATTTTAAATAATCCTACATTCTGTACTCTGTACCACCAGATATTGACCCATGCTTTTGGAAATGTGCAGTACATCTTTCCACACAGTTTAATAAGGATTTTTACAAAGCCATTTCATGTTGTAATTACATGTTCCATTTATGTCATTACACATGTTTACACTAATTATGCAGTTAGCACTAATTACACTAATTACATAAATGCATGATAATCAACTGAAGTTTACTTTCAAGGAACAAAAGAAATTAACTCTAAACCTACACTCTGAGCCTTATGCTGTGAGACATATCAATAAAATAAAGGAAATTCACAGTTAAGCCTTTACTGCCCTACACTGAAAAGTGTGGTTGAAGGTGCTTCCTACTTTGCTGGTGACGATATCCTTGTCTAAACTAACAAAGGGGTCAAAGGCCAAGGTGCTCACAGACCAGGATACTAATTTAACAGGAAGCTCACTAAGGCCATATCTACGCTAGTCAAACTTTTGCTGCTTGCGAGTGAGCGACATAAGTTTTGCTGGCATAAGCACTCGTGTGCACAGCTCCTCTTCCCCTCACCCCCTCCCTAGGCAGTGTCCTCTTTTTGGGAACCTGAAATATGGTAACCCTACAGCTAGTGACTACTATATTTTGTCTGCTTCACAGTTTCTTCAGATTCTTGCAACTTTTTTTAGAAGCTCTAACACCTCCATTGTTTCCAGCAGACCCTTGAAATTTGGAGGGAGAAAGCCCTGTAGCCAGAGGCCTTTTCTTTGTCTCATGACATTCTTTTCAGGTTTGGCGGAATTATAAACTATAAAAAAAATCACCATTTCCTTTCTTTTACTTGCTTTCCTCAGAGAAATTTGGGCAGCTTGCCAAAATAATAATTGACTATGAACATTCTGAAGAGTCAGACCTGTGGCCATGCAGAAGCACCACTTAATTGCGGCTAGAACGCAATAGAGGGCCTTATCAGTCTTTGAATTAAGAAGTTTGTTGCCCTTAAAAGGAGGGTAACTCAATTGTTGTTTGGACTTCCTTGGGAAATCCCTGAAAAATGAAACCAGGAAGATCTTCTCATGGCCAGCTAGTCGGCAATAGTATGCACCTCTTTGTCAGAGGTGTCCAGCGTGGCCTGTGCCGATGTGCGGTTTATCAGCTGTTCTGCAGACATGATGATGTTAGCTCCCCTCTGCGTTCTCAAGGTTGTCTGTCAGAAACTGAGACACTGTCCAATTCAGGTATTCGTATTTGGACAGAAACGTGTAATTAGCCATGCACATCTGGAGGCTCATAGATGAATACACTTTGAATCCAAATGGGTCCAGCCTCTTTGGATTTCTCTCCCTAAATGTAAACTTGAGAAGTCCCTGCTGCTTTGACCTCTCTTGGATTGCAGCTACCACAAATGACCGTGCTATTTGGTGGTAATAAAAGTACTCAACTCCCTCAGAAGGGACTTGGTACCTAGTCCCAGCTTGCTTGGATGTGGCTAGAATGGACGCTGGCTTGTGCCACAGGTCTTTCACAGGCTCCATCAAGTCCCTCATTTATAGGCATGACAAGCTTTCCAAGCATGGAAGTATGCAAGATTTCAAGCAGTTTGTGAGGTTTCTCCTTTACCACTTCCAGATGTATATCCAGAGTGTAAGCCATACACTTTACGAGGTCTAAAATGACTGACGTCATCAACTGAAGAATGCAGTGTAGTAGCCGTGTTGGTCCCAGGATATCAGAGAGACAAAGTGCTTGAGGTAGTAACTTTTATTGAACTAAAGTCTGATGGTGAGAGAGACAAGTTTGTTGTAATAAGCCATAAATCCAGTGTCTCTATTCAATCTATGATTTCTAATGTCCAGTAGAGTTATGAATTTAAGCTTTATGACACTAGATTCATGGCTTATTATAATGGTGTCCAAACGGTGGCTAGAGAGCCACATGTGGCTCTTTTACAGTTAAAGTGAAGCTCAAGGAGCCCCCCCACGCCTGCCTTTCCCCACACATTTTCTGCCTACCAGACAGGATGGGGGGAGCTCAGGCTTCTGCCCTGCAGCGGGGTGGTGGGACTAGAGGTTACTGCCAGAGACAACTGGTGCCTGATAGCTGGTGGGTAGAAGGGGCTCAATTTAAACATTCAGCCCCCTCAACAACTTGAGTCACACACACCCAGGGACACCCCCACTCTTCCCCTCAGTGGTCCCTCCCTACAGCTCCCAGCTATTTGATGCTGCCTCTCCCTATAGTCGCAGCTCCCATCTTGCCAGCTCTCCAGGGAGGGAGCCTGGCTGCATCATGTGACCAAGCAGAGCCAGAAAACCCTGGCAAAAATCTGGTGGAAGGGAGCATGTGACCTCCCGCCGAACCCCAGCAGGCATGCCTCGGCTCTCGAATTTCTGAAGATTGTCATATGCTTCTCAGAGGGCCGGTAAGTTTGGCCACCCCTGGCTTACTACAGCAATCTGTACCCCAATAATCCCTCCTTTTTATCCTGTGACTGCAGAGGTGTTAGCAGGCCACTCCACCTTGAATGCCTCCTTACAATATATGCTAACCAATCAGTTCCATGGTGCATTCAGCTGTGACATTCGGAGTGTCTTTCCCAGACCTAAAGAAGGTCCCTGTGTGGCTTGAAAGCTTGTCTCTCTTATCAGCAGAAGGTGGTCCAATAAAAGATATCTCTCATCCACCTTATCTCTCTAATCAACTTAAAAAGGAATCCCACAGTCTACTGCCTCATTGGGAGAGAATGAGGAGATCACACAGCGAGGAGCAGTTGTCCTTGTAGTTGCTGTAGTTGCCTCATCACTTTCCTTCTCCTGCCTTTCTAGGATCTGAGGCTGCACTGGCTACCCTGGCTGCATTGTTTTATATTCCCTCTTTGGGGAGGGAGAGCTAACCCTAGAGGCGACATAAAAACCAGAATCTAACATAATTTGTGTCTGTTAGAGCAGGCCTGTCCCTAGGGGGGTGCGGGGCCAGGGATGTAGGTGCTGAGTTTCTAATCTGCAGAGAGGTGCTCCCCTTGGCTCCGCCCAGGCCCTGCCCCACTCCATCCCTTCCCTAAAGGCCCCATCCCTGCCCTGCTTCTTCCCACCCCTTCTATGCCCCCACCCCGGCTCTTCCCACCCCTGCCCTGCCTCTTCCCCGCCCAGTTCCACCCCCCCCTTCCTCAAGCGCGCTGTGCCCTCGCTCCTCTCCCCTCCCTGCCAGTGCCTCCTGACGCCGTGAAATGTCTGATCTGTGGTAGGCGCTGAGAGGGAATCACACAATATCAGTCCTTTTAATGCTCTTTTTATTATATGAGCCTCTTAAAATTGTAAAAAGAATACTTCAAAAAATTCTCTCCTAGTAGGACTATTGATTTATTCTGTAATAGTCCTTCAAAGTTATAGTTCCAAAGTTACTTTGTTTTCAATAATTTATTCAAAATATGAATTGGATTCCACCTAAACTGAACTTCTGCTAGCCAGAAAAAGATTCAATTTATATAATTTAAGGGAATCCAGCAAAAATATTCATAATCCAACTTGAGTACATCCAGTCTAAAAGAACAAAAACTCTGTTAAAAGAGATAGCTGCTTTATGCTGTATTTTTTCAGATCTTCTGGTTTATATTTTAATTTACACAGAAAATGCAGTTCATCTAACATATTTAATCTTTTATCCAGTTTCCCTTTTTAGTTATTCATTCATGTGGATATACATGTATTTATCAAAAGCAAAAACCTGTGTTACATACGATGTAAAAGTCATTAGTCAATGAGAATCAGAAAATGCAAAAGCTACGCTTCCAGAATAAGTGTGTTAATTCAGCTTCACTACACAGCCTAAGCCATATATATATATATATATATGATAACAAACAGTAATGTATTAAGCTAGCGTACACATTTCACACTGTGTTGCTTTTGCCGGGACCAGAGCAGGAATGCAGGTCAGAACTCCTGTAAAGAGTTAATAAGCAATCTAGTTAGAGATGCGTTAGATTCTGTTTTGTTTAAATGGCTTATAAAATAAGTTGTGCTTAATGGAATGTGTATTCCTGTTTTTGTATCTTTTTGTAACTTAAGGTTTAGCCTAGAGTGATTCTCTATGTTTTGAATCTGATTATCCTGTAAGGTATTTACCATCCTGATTTTACATAGGTGATTCTTCTACTTTTCCTTCAATTAAAATTCTTCTTTAAAGAACCTAATTGCTTTTTCATTGTTCTTAAGATCCAAGGGTTTGGGTCTGTGTTTACCTATGCAAATTGGTGAGGATTTTATCAAGCCTCCCCCAGGAAAGGGGGTGTAGGGCTTGGGGGGATTTTGGGGGAAAGACGTTTCCAAGTGGGCTCTTTCCCTGTTATATTTGATAGATGCTTGTGGTGGCAGCAATAAAGTCCAGGGACAAAAGGTAAAATAGTTTGTACCTTGGGGAAGTTTTAACCTAAGCTGGTAAAAATAAGCTTAGGGGGTTTTTCATGCAGGTCCCCACATCTGTACCCTAAAGTTCAGAGTGCGGAAGGAACCTTGACATGGTTCACAGTGTGGCTAGATGAACATAGTTGTCAGGCCCGTAACTCTTGCATTTCCTAACTTCTAGAGATTGGTAAAACACAACCAAAAGTGCACGTGCATCTAACTGCATTACCTTGCATTAACCTTATTTACACATGCAATCTGGGTAGCTAGGCAAGCAAGTAGCTGATTTGTGGGCACAAATGCAGTGATTTTGCATTTACCCTGAAAGCCCTTTAGAAATGGTCCCAAACAAATGAACAGTCTTATATCTCATTTATGAAGAAAGACAAATTTTATTGGTTTTACCACCTCTGGATTTTCCTCCTTTTTCTTTTTGGTAGCAGGGGGTCCCTGAGGTAACTCTTCAGAAGGTTTCTTTGTTTCCACTTTATTTTCTGTCTGGGTCTGGACTTGAGGCTGAATGATGATAACCTGCAAAATAAAGAACAAATAAAGAGAACAGAGTTCATTACACAAAACAGATTTCCAGGCCGAGTACCTGACCTAGATCCTTCATTGAAGGGCGGAAGGATGGTGTCAAGCACCTGCTAAAAAGACAATAAATAAAAGTCACAGGCCAAAATTTTCAAACTTGGATGATTAACATTAGGGTCCTAAATCTATATTTGGTTTCCTAAAGAGAAGTATCTCTTTTTTCACAGGAGCTCAGGCACTCCACCTCTTTCTAGAAGTCAAAGGGAGCGGCAAGTGCCTCCTTCTCTGAAAATCAGGCCACTTCTATTTAGGTATCTGACATTGATTCAGGGACCTAACTTTAGGCATCCACGTTTGAAAGTGTTGGCAATGGCTTTATGTTTATTTATTTATTTTATTTTATTCCAGATATAAGCAAGAAAGATGTAAATGCTGTACACTCAGGCCTACATTCTGATCCTAGTTACAGAGAGGTAACTGTTGACATCAATAAAGTTACTCCAGATTTGCACTGGGAGTAACTGAGATCAGAATCCTAAAAAGTATGTTTTATGGTAGGTTTTCAATTTGTCTAAAAATACAGTAAGATGTACATCCGGTCTGAACTACACCTCATTCTTGTGCAGCACCATCCACAAAGAAAGTGTTACACAGCTCTTCACAGTACTTACATGTGTATGTTAGTTAACACACTGAACACCAACATTCTGAGAATCAACAAAGCAGACTTATACTTTGCAGATTCGGTATCTCAAGATTGCATTAAAAAACACTGAGGAACAAATTACTGATCACAAAACTGTCCATGTGACGTTATATTATTAACAAAAAATTCCTAAGGATTATAAGAGACCTTCCCAAGATCATCTTTCTGATGATGTTTATTGGATTTGACCATTGGGCCTTTTTAATCTATTTCATTGCTAACTTTTAATCAATATTACTCAGTCATCATAGATCCGATCTCCAGTTACTCATTTTAAAAAATGCAAGTACTTACGCAAGGAATTTTTTTTTATTGGTAACCAGATTATAGGAATAGGAAAATAAATTATGTTAGCTAGAGAATTACACCAAAGATGCCTACTTTGCTTATTTACTTAAAAGCCATCCTATCTTCTGTGCTCTTTCCTGTCAGCATATTAGACCTTGTCCTGCCAACAAGTTCCAAAGTAGTTCCATGTTTTGAATTTTGAACATGTTTTTTTATTATTTTAACACTGCCTTGTAACATGCAATGCTGCTGTCATGACAATTTGTGCAGTCTTGTGACTTACACTGGGTTACAGAGCATTTGCTTTAGAGGTTGCTGGTTCTGATACAGTATCTGAATTACACTGGAAGTCTTTTGGCTATGCCAAGTCTTTGTTCAAATAGAATCTGGTGTCACAGATGCACAATTCCTGCATTTCAAAGCTTAGCAGCTGTGCAAAAAGTAAACAGGTATTCCATAACTGGATTTTTTTCTAGGAGTTCAGCTGCTGATCAGTTATGAAATCCTGAACTCTCATCTCTTATGGACTTTTCCCAGAATTGCAGAAGAGAACACCTGGCTACTTTATATAGCCCTGCAGAGTGCTACATTGAAGAGACTACAGAATCGGGTTCTATAGTTAACATTATTCTTCTATAATTCAAGGGAAAGTCAATAGGAAATTTGTGTCTGCTGAGAGTTTGTGAGTTTCATTAATTATGATTGGATTGAGAGGAAGGATGATCAAATGGTTCCAAAAATGCCAGGCTACACAATGCTACACTTACTTTCCCAGACAACCAGAAAAAAATGTAGGTATACTAATAAGCATCTAGTATCTTTCATGTGTCCCCTTAAGACTTTTTTCACTGCTTTCTGATTATTCACTTCAAAAGGAACAGTTGACATCACTCTATAAAGGGCTTTCCAAACTACTAGGAATATATTTGCCTACACCTGCAATATAATTGTTGATCTTGATGTAAAGATGCACTGCAATTGCAAAACCTACCTTGCTGTCGGCACTAATGAGGAGTGGTTGCACTTTGATGCTATCGTTGACCACAGAGACGGTAGCGCTCGTGCTGATAGGAGTTGCATTGTTGGGGGAGGTGGATATAATGGCATAGGCCACACCTGCACTGCTCAGAGGTGATGAGATAGATGTAGACTCGGCCACACTTTGTGATTGGCTATTAGGCGTCTGTACATGGCTGACAGTATTATTGGCAGTGGGGAGGGCAGGGCTAGGGTTTTTGATGCTCACTACTGTTGCCTTTTGGAAAGTAGGAGGCTGTTTGGAAAGTTGGTCTCTGCATGAGGAAATAGGAAGGCTGTCTGGAATCAGGGTCTTTGGCCTAACCTATAAATAGAGAATTAGAGATTATTAGACATAACCTAACATAGTAACAAATAAATTTTACAAACACACTCTACCAACATCACTTCACATTGCATTAGCAATGTAGCAAGATGCCTAAAAATACTGCAAAGCAAGTCCAAGTAGAAAGTGATTCATTTACTTGTAGATATATTCCAAATTCTGCCTGGCTGAGTCATTTCCCAGTCATTGCAACCATGTATAAAAGGACATAAGTAAATTCCTTACTTTTATTAGCAGATATCCATACAAATGCCACTCTGTTCACAGTAGGCCAAAGGCTTTTCAAAGGCATGGAAATTCCAGAATGACCTAATTTCTTGTGCTGAAAGAAACTATATTCTTGCTATGAATTAAAGGGTGGGAACTGATCATTAAGGGAGTTCTGTGAATGCATCTATGGGAACAGTAAATGAAATCTGAGCATGTCATATTGTGGTAGATTAGTAAATGAAGATCTTTACTTATGTTTCAAAGGTGCACAGTTTCTAACAGCGTGAAGATTGCTCTTTTAGGTTCACAAAACAAAAACGGAACTTAATATTTTACAATTATGAGTAAAGGGCTAATTTGTGGCTGGAATTGAGGAGGATTGCAATAGAGGCTTGTCTAAAGGAAGGGAAAAAAGAATCTGACAAAGTCTGTGAAGAAGGCGCAGCCCATACCCTACAAAGGACACCAGGAATGAAGATCTCAGAAGACTGTGTTCAGCTCATGTGATATGCTGCTTCCATTGGTAAAATTAATGCAGTCCTGTCAACATGACTCATACTTAACTATGTGTTAAGTATGGGTTCAAAATATAAATAATTTAAACGGCTATGCAGAAGGTTAACTTTACCCTTAGCTCATTCATTAACATGGCCATATAAAACACATGGGGATCTGACTGTTTATTTTGTCAGTCATTGCTTGCACCTTCCATACTGTGAAACAAAAATGATATTTCATAACAGACATATATTTGACACAGCTGTTTGTGCTACTCTACCTTCGCTTACAAGAAGCATTCCAATTATATTATCTTCAGTCTTGAGGATAAGAGAACAGTTAAATGAAAATGTCCTGATTTACTGGAACACCCTGCATGATCTTTCAGCACATCCTTTTGTAGCTTTCAAGCAGGAGGGCATACCCAATGCTTTCTGCAGAAGATATTAGGAGTGCCCAGAAGGCCCCATGCAGTCACATATTTTGCTCATGCTCATTAATTATTGGTATTATGGTAGCGTTTAGATGCTTCAACAGTGATCAGGACCTCAGGACCTATGCACTGTACATATAGTAGGGTATGATAGTGCTGTGAACACCTTACAATCTAAATAGACAAGACAAACACAAGGTAGGATGGGAAACACAAGAGCCACAGAGAGATGAAGTGACTTGCCCAAGGTCACTCAGCAGGTCAGTGGCAGAGCCAGGAACAGATTCCCTGTCCAGTGCCCCATCTATTAGGTACTCATACTATTTCTTATGTGCCAAATATGACATTAAATAAAAGTGTTCAGTAACGGAGAATCATAAATATTAATTTGGTTATGTAATAGGGCATAAGTCTTCCCTGAGCCTTGTCTCTGTCTTCTATGGCTTATATAATTTGACATCTTCAGATGAAAGAATTTAGACAAATCCAAAGGCCAAAATTTTCAAAAATACAAGCCTTACAGTTAAGTTCCTAACTCCATGTATAGGCAGAGGTGCTGAGCTGTTGGCTGACCAACACTTTTGAAAGTCAGGCAGTTGCCTATATATATGGACTTAGGAACCTACCGGTAAACTCCTATTTTAAAACATCTTGACCTATGTGTTTTGCAAATTGGGCCCCACAACACTGACAATGCTATAAGGTAGATATTATCCCCATTCTATCAATGGGGAAAACTGAAGCACAAAGGCTAAAGCGACTTGACAAATCTCTGTTATATAATCCAGATCGTCTGGTTATCCTCCTATGTTTTCACCACAAAATTATGCCTTTTCTTCCCTATGTTATGTCCTGTGTAGATCTATGATTGGTTACTCGTGTCATGGAAGAGTAACTGTTACAGAAATATAATTATGCATGAAACTAGCACTCATGAAACTTTGCCGTTGAGAAACTGAGCACTCATAAGAACTTCAGTTATAGCTGAAAAAATTCAACTTTAATTCTGACCCCTTGATCTAACATCTGAGATTATGACCTCATTTTGGATCATCAAAGGATTGTTTTGTCAATTAATACAATACATATGAGAAAATGGACATATCTACAGCGAGACATAGTACAGACTTCAGATTTGGCTTGTGTAAATCTTACTGAGATTTATAAAACAAATCAAGTTGGAAGAAAATCAGCTCAGTAGTTTTATTTACTCAAAATTGTCATTTAATTTACTACTATCTGAAATGTCTGTTTTTGCCATTTTAAATCGCATTTTATATATCTGTTACTGTATCTTAATCAAAAACCTAATAAAAACTAAAACTAAAAATGGCCATAATACATACATTGGTTATTGTATTAAGGGTAATACTTAATATCACCTATTATCCACAGTACAATATATGTATTATGCACTTTGTGTGCAAAATGTACAAATCTATATCACTTTGCTACATAATAAAACCTCTCTGCACAAATAATTAAAAGGAATGAATTTTCCAAAGAAAAATATTCCCTATATGGTTCACCATGTTGAAATATCTCTATTATTCCACAAAACAAAGGTTAAGTACACAGTACATTGGACATTTTCTGCCACCTTGTGATAAAATAGGGGTACTACATAGTCTTCATAATCACCGACCCCAGCATATTCCTAGACAAGATTATTTAATGCTGTGAAAGTGTATTTATTTATTTATTTTCATTTCTACAATAATAAAAAGGCGGCCTATGCAAAAACTCTGGGCATCCCGGACACCAGGGCAAAACCAACATAAAATTAAACAGCTACTCAATCCAACTAAAGATCTCCACACACAAAACTCCTTTCACCCTACACTGCTCTGATGCCCCTTCATACTCCACCCTTTGAAGCTAACCCCCTAAGTAAAAGCACTACTCAACAGCTACACTAAAGGATTAAAAGATTTCTATTAAACTTCCACATAAAAACAAACAGCTACTGTATTATTGTAAAACTAACACTGTCAATCAGGAAGAAAATAAGTGGAGAACAAACTAGTGTAAATTCCTTGGCAACCCTGAGAAACTGCAGTTTAAATTTTGGCGATGGAAGTCAGAACTATTAAATAATCAGAGCAGCAATATTCTGGAGGGTACAACATTTTTATGGCAACTGACAATCAACAAAGTGGGAATTGGAGGAAGACAGAGGTGGGGAATATGTTGCTAAATACATGGACTGTTTCAAAAATATATTTACTGCTAAATATTAACACAGACTTGATGGTACTTGTACATACTACAGGAGCCATCACAGGTAAGGAGTCAAGAAATTTAGAAAAGGAGAGAAAAAAATAACAAATGGAATGTATGTTGTGAAGAGAACAGGTTGCAACTGGTGAACACAATGCAATTAGTGTTTTTCCAAGAAAAACATTGTTCATTTAATACATGACAGCTGTCAAAACATTGTATGCGACTACCAGTACTAGGACCATATAGGAGAAGAAATGCACCTTTTCCTGCATATAATGATTTCAAATACCTACGCTGTTAGTGAATTTATGTGGTGCCACAATAATGAAAATGTTTGATGTTAGGTGGTAGTATTCACGTATCCAAGGTATCTGTCACACTACCTGACAGGAGAGTGCATTTTCCAAGCAGATGTTCCCAGACATGAGAATTCAGTATGTAGCTGTCTGCTTTTCATGCAATAACAGGAGGTCTGATCCTGTGAGATCCTCTGCACCTCCTGTGAATTGCCAACTCAACTCCCACTGATCTCAAATGGAATTGATGGTGCTCAGCTTCATATCAGGCTCTTGCTCAATATCAGGCTGCTTTTGGGGGTTAGTCACACTTTATTTTCACTTCACCCTTGCACTCAGCTTAAAAACAAAGACTCAAAATGGATTTAACAAAATTCACATGTCACAGAGGCAAAGTGCTTGTAGCAGAGGACAATTCAATTCTTAACGAGCTTTAGAGGATAACACTCTCCCAAAAAACAGCAGCAATGGCTGATAAAAATTAATGTAATATGGTCTAATCATACCCTTAGCTGGTGAAAAGGGATGCAATTTTATCAACTTCAGTGGTGCTGCAATTCATTTACACCAGCTGATGATCTGGCGCCATTTTTTTTTTTAAAGTCAATAGCCCTACATTCAGAAGTTTCACAGAAGGAAGGTCCTGCATGAATTTAAAAGAGCCTGGCATGCACTAAAATCAGGGTTTCCCCAAAAGCCTGAAATCTTGATGTCCTCACCACAACACATACACAAGCACGTCTTTCCTTGAAAGCCTCCTCGAAATCTTTAGCTTGGTCTAAGATGGCAGCAAAATAAACAATCAGCATTCCCTACATAAAGTTTATTTTTCAGTCACACATGTAAGTGCATGTGACCACTGAACCAAACATATTTTTTCCTTTTCTGGTGGGGTTACACAGAAGAGCAGTTATTCTGCATGCCTCAAGGGACAATAAAAAACCCTTCGGTTTAGTGACTGTTCATTCCCAATACGGGGGTGACCTATTTTCTTGCTAGAAGGCTGATGGAAATCTCCTTAGAGTCCATCAATGCCACTGATGATACATTGGCTGCAGAGGTCACTGAAGAACAATATCAAGTGCCCCACTCTACCTCACAAAGGGGTGAGCAAGCTCTCTCTCCCATGCTCCCACTCCTTTCCAATTTGAGGAGTGGTTCAACATATTGTTTAATGGGTGAGCAATATTAAAATCCAGTGGATTGTATTACCATCTGGGTTTGATTTCCCATTTTGCTACTAACTAATAACTTTCCTGTAGTGAAAAGGGAGACTCAGATGATACCTCTGTTCAATTTCTAAGGCAGAGCTATTTGAT